TTACCTTTAAGGGTGAATTGTGTGAGCAAGCACGATATTTAGCTATTGGATCGTAGACAACTTTAATTTTGGATAATAATAATTAAATATATCAATTAAAGGTTTGTTTAATTCCAGACCTTCTTGTTCCGAAGTTATTGGTCATGTGTATCGACAGCTACTTTGCTGTTCAGCTACAGTGCACAGGCAGATGGAATAATTCCTTGAGCTAATTCATATAAGTAGTGTCTAGTATTACCTTGGAATTATACAGTATGAAAAATATCTATTCTGCATATGGGGTCAGAGTAGGAGCTAGCAACTTTTTGCTAGTAACTACTCTTAGTCTATCTGACGTAGACCTTCGATAACCATCAAATGAGATGATAGACGGGGGTTTGGGCTCGAAATAATTATCCCCTAATATAGAGTAAAATTATTTTTCATTAATACTAAATGGTTGCAGGAAAATTGGTATCTAGTGCAGTAAGTTTATTTTCACCACCCTCGCCGATTTCTATTATATCGTCAGATTTATAGAAAGCTAATTTGACTTAATGAAGAAAAGGTACATCTGAAAAAATGTGTAAGGTGGAACTATCGTCTCATCATTTTTGCATTCTTTTCTTGCATTTTGGTTAATATCTTTAGATCAGGGTTATATAATGTTTTGTTGTTATGTGGGGCCTGCCGACTCATCCAGAAAGGGTTTCTTGTACTAAAACCACTCGTATGCAACTCAGGTGCAACCAAACTCCTAAATACATATCATTATTACATGGTCAAACCCTAGATTGTTAACTCAAAGAAGCAGCTCTTACCAACTGTACATCTGTTTCATGCATTGCATTCATTAATCTGCTGGCATCTGAAGTATGCTAGAAATGGTCAATCAAGTCATGTTATATGAGGTGCGTTCACCCTATTTCGCTTAAGATGAAGAAGAACTGGTAGTTGAATTTCCCAACAATGATATGATTAGTCTTTGTGTTTATGTCATTCTCATCGAGGCAAGAGTGGATTACAGTTTCGACCTCGTATAGGTCTTATTAATGCTTTCAGCGGGACTCGAACCATGAGAATGCAGCGTAAATTCTCAGCATGCTAACCCCTACGCCGCATTGCCACAAGTGTCCTTGGGTCATAGGCCAGCTGTGAGCTTCAAAGAAGTCCAGGCCTCTTCCCATTTCCCGTACTGTGGTGGGATTAGCATGGTTTAAATGTTGTTGGGGGTGTGGATAAGACGTAGGAGAAGTCTAAACTGCAGTTCACCTTGAATGCGAACATCTTTTGGGAAGGAAAGGCTATGTGAAATGCAATAGAAACGTAATGTCTACTTATATCATTGTGGAAAAATTTAACTACCAGTCCTTCATCACCTTAAGCGAAATGGGATGAACACATATCATATATTCATTACTGGTGGTCTCGAAAACTTACTCCAAACGAAAAAAGCAAGTCATGTTATGCCCAATTAAGCTCACGAAATTAAATATAAGAAGAATGTAGTTTTGCATGTAGCCACTTCACTTTTCGTAGATGATGGTTTTGGGCTTTTACGATG